TTCATATGTTTGAAATTGCATGCCATTCTGAGTGGCATGATGAAATCTCACACTATCCCTTTCTGTCCAGGACAAAACTCCTTTGTCCAGCATCTCCCTACCTAGCCATTAGTCACCTTGTAGCCATCTTGGTAATCASGTCAATTGTCATGCTACTACAATGCTTATGTCCAAGTAGTCCTATTTTCTTTTATCCCATAGCACAAAAGTAGTGATTCTTTTATTTATTACAATATATTGTCATCACTGTTCTATTTTATTATTAGTGTTCATCTCTTACTGTGCCTAATTTATTAACTAAATTTTTGTAGATTTGTATGTGGGATCTGGTTCCATCTCTGGGTAGTCTCGGAATTGAATTGAAGCAAAGGACACCATTTGTTTGTAGGGGGAATAACTCATACACATCTGAGGAGTTATAAACACCAGTGGAATTTCAGGGTTTTATAGTACTTTATTTCCAACTTTTTGAGGGAGTATCTGCTTTGCACAGGTTGAACCATTTTGCATTTCTGCTAGCAATGTCTGAGAGTGCCAATTTCTCTGCTTCCTCACCAACACTATTTTCTATTATTTTTTCTATCCTAGTGGGAGCAAAGTGGTATCTTGTGGTTTTGATTTGTATTTCACTAAAGACTAGTGGTAAAAATGAACATCTTTTCATGTGATCATCAGATTTTCTTTGGAGAAATAACTTTTTAAGCCATTTGTAAATTGGGTTGTCTTTTTGTTCTTGGGTTGTAAGAGTTTTTATATATTCTGGATACTAGAAAAATATATGAATGTATATGATTTGCAAATATTTGCTACCATCTTTGTGTTCTCACATGATGATTCTACTTAGGCCCTCTTACATGAAGGCATTATTAACAGTCCTGAATGTTCTTTCACTCCATATTTCCAAAAGAAAAGATGACAATAATAAACATCAAAATAGGAATTCAGTAAAACAATGGGGTAAGATGTAGGGAGAATAAAGGGAGAGAATTGTCTTAAATGTCTGAAGTTAATGATCTATGAAAAAAAAGAATTCAAAATATGGAAATTATTTTTCTGGAAATCAGTGTATTCATTACAATAAAAAAAGATGGAAGATGAAAGAGGATGGAAAATTTAAAGCAAAAACAAAGATATTTTTCCAAAAAATTTATTGTGCAAATTTGATATTCATATGCTGTTTAAGCAATCATGAGACAAAATTACAAGAAATTTAAATTAGCATATTTCTTTAGGTTTGAGGTCCCTTTTGGTAACACATACTAAGCACTTAAAAGAACTTTTAGTAAACCAAATGTGAATTCTCAATATGCTTGTATTTATGAAAAAAAAGAAAGGAAAAATATGAATGAACCTAGTGAAAGCCATTCTCCCTAAACAGACTGCTGATGGGGGTACAGATAGCAAGAACCTTCTGATCTTGCTGAAACTTGAAGAAAAACAAAGTAGGGCTTGCAGCTTTTAGAACTGCCAGCAGAATGAAATCTGATTACCTCCATACGATTTGTACCAACTTCAGTTAGCAAAGTTATAACTACAGTTCTTTAGCTATACAATTTTCAACTTGCTCTAGTGAAGATAGATGTAGAGGTCTGTTTTTAAATCATCAATTATATTTTATTTATATATATACCAACACACTGAAAGGCAAATGCTGAAAATGCAACTTTTAAAGTCTAGAGAATTCAACTTCTTAAAAGAGAAGTAGAAACACACTTTCATATGTGTTTAAATATATTTTGGTAGATGACATTAGTTTTGATTGTAATAGATCATTATTGCTACTACCTGTGTGTTATGAGTATTATAGTTTCTCAGAAGAGACTAGTAAAATAGTTTAGACTGTCTGTTAAGGACAGTGAGGAAATTTCTTTTTATTTCCTCTGCAGGGAACAAAACCATCTTAATATCTCCCAGGAGCAAGTCCCATAGAGAAGTTAATAAGTAATTGTCAACTTATTTTGAAAAATTTCAGTGCAACATACTAAGTACACAAAGAAAAAAATAAGTTAGGGGAAGAGGCAGAGCCATGYAAGGGAACTCTGAGTACTAGAGACACTTACTATATGACGTAGCAATGAAATAGGTCATCTTTCCTTAACTTTTAAGGAATAAAAGACATAACAATTTAAAAAAAGAGGATGAATTTGCTTAAGTTCCATAGTTCACCAGCTATAAAGTAGACTTTGGGGGTGAAAAAAAAACACGACAGCACTACCAGATTACCCAATCAATTCCAATATGAAATGCTCAATCATTTTTTTTCTTTAAAATTTTTTTTTAGTTGTAGATGAACACAATATCRTTATTTATTTTTATGTGGTGCTGAGAGTTGAACCCAGTGCCTCCCACGTGCTAGGCAAGCCCTCTACCACTGAGCTACAGCCCGGCCCCATCATTTTTTTCTTCATAAGCAAACTCTTGACAAATTGTGGGTGTTGTGGAGAAAGGGATAAATGGAGAGTGGATGGAGGGTGTGGTTATAGGTACTGCCTATACTCAGTACTGCCTGTATTAAGTTCAAATCTTCTGCATCATTTGTTTTTAAATAAAACATTTAAAATAACACATAATAACAGAATAACACATAAATCAATGTAAGCTGTCATGGGAAAATGATATCTAACCATGTGGAGATTGATGCTCAGCTCAGACAATCATAGGCTTCCCTCAGTGGACCCCAGAGCTACTAGCAGTATGGTGGGTAGGCTTTGGGGTTAGGTAGGTAAGTTCAGGCAAATTGACATTCTATCCATACGGATGGGGAAAGTCAGCCTTGCTAGTAAAATGAGAATGGTAATTATGTCTTCTTTATGGGCTAGCTGTAAAGATTTAATGAAATCATGCATGTGAAACTCTTGGCACAATGCCCGGAACACAGTAAGCTCTCAATAAATGAGAGCTAATAGTATCTTCTAAGAAAGTGACACATCTGAAAAATGAAGTCTCCCCTTGGCTTCTCCTGGCCTAATTTTAAGTCCCAGTCCTCTGGTGGTTTTTCTGCTCTCTCCCTCACACTAACCCCTTACATGGGCCTTAAACATCACTGCTCATAGATTTTTATCATACTCATGTTTGCTTATTCAATTCTTTGTCTAATTTATTTGTTTTACCCCAGATACCTTTGACTTGTTTGAGGGAATGGCAATAATATCTGACACTTTGGTGACTCCCTAGTACCCAATACAAAGCAAAGTACATTGACAGTGCTTTGCATGTGTTGGATTAATAGTACATCGACACTGAAATTTTGTTAACTTATTAGTTTAAGTTAGTAAATAGTATATTTAAATTCATAATTTTATGTAGCTAAAAAATAAACAAATGACCTGCAAGAAATAAAGTGCAGTACTTGGAGAAAGATTTAGAGAAAAGAATAAGGTGTTCGGGAGGGGGAACCTGGAGTAGAATTTATTCTTTATTTGACTTTGTTGGGGTGAACAGACAGTGACTAACGTTTGAGGCTTCCCATTAAGTGTCCAATGGTTGTTTAAACCAGAGCATCTTTGCTATGAATAAAACTGCTTTGTATTCTGTGGTTGTAGACTTGGAAGGGACCTTAATTTTCATCACATCCTCTGCTCCACTTCATAGACGAAGAAACTGAGAACAGCAACACTTGAGAATTCTTTACTGGTAGGGCCAGGTCTAAAATTCAAGATCCTCTGACTACCCTACCTTGTGGGAAGGGGAACTAGTTCCTTTAAAAATAAGCGCGGTTGCTTTAATAGCGTCAGCACCTGTTCTTCCAGCTTCCGAAAGAYAGAAGCTATTAATTTCTCTTTCATCAAAGCCGAATGCCGCATTTCTGGTGTGTCTGAGCTTCGTTGTCGTCCAGGCTGCAGCTGTCTAAACCACTGAGACCCAATGTTGGACGGAGGCACCTTTCTGCTGAAATCTGTTCAATCGCGACACCCAGATACAGAAAAAATAAAACAAAGTGACACAACTCATTCAGTCRGGAGCCAAATTTGGGATGTCTCTTAGTTCGTCCACGCTCCTTGTGGTGGAAACCAACGCAGCCCAGGAGGGACAACGCTGCCACGAACAACCGAGTGTTTCCTTTGGTGGGCCAGGATATCAGCAGCTGGAAGGTGAGAGGCACAGGTCATTTGAATGGCGACTTCATCATCTGTAAAACTGAAAGAGACTATAATCCTTTGGGAAGTTTTGAGAACCAAATATCTTCACTAAGCACGTTTGGGTGGCTTCTGTCATCACCACTGTTGTTATTGTGCTAGCAAGGCTTGGATTGCTGAAGTTGTTTTCTCCCGCGCCGATTCTAGCCAGCCTCTGCCTGCCCATGGCCACACCTTTCGGTGTCCGAAAGCGAAGGGCTGCGGGGCGCCTCTGGACGTCCAGGGGAGGAGGGAAGCCCGCGCAGCACGCATGCGCGCCAGGGAGTCCCTGGCCTCTCATAAGAGCACAGCGCAGCGCGGCACCAAGTCGAGTCGGAGCTGGCCTGGCGCCGAGCGCACACAGTGTGCAGACGTCCACGGAGCTCGGCTGCTCCCTTAGCCTCGAGGACTGAAACTTCCGTGGGAGGCTCCTCTCGGCGCTCACCTCCTGAGGGCGCACCAGCGAGGGGGAGAGGGAAAGCCGGACGGAGGCTGCCTGGCGCCCGGGGAATCGCGCTACAATCGAGGAGCCACGGACCAGCAGTTCGCTTGGACCCGCGCCCAGCAGCAGCCGCGGCGGCCGCCAGCCGGGCAGACCCTCGGGGCGGTAGCGGGAGGTACGCCGGGTCCTCTCCGGCGTCCTGGACGCTCCCGGGGCGGCAGGCGTTGGGAGGATTGACCGGTCAGGGGAGCGTGGGAGCCRCAACGCCGAGGACTGCGAGGACTGCCCGGGCGGCGTGGCCGAAGCCATGTGGACGCAGTTCGGAGCTGCGGAGACTGAGCGCTGCCGGCCGCTGCACTTGCTGCTCRGAACCCTGCGCGCGCTGCCCGCTTTCTTTGCGGTTTCTGGCTGCCCGCGAGGTGAATGAAGAAGGGGAGACGCACCCCATTCGCCTACGGGACTCCCACGCTTAAGCCCCGGGGCAGTGACCTGGCTTCAGATCTGCAGCGGAGTGCCCAGCAGTCATCGGCTCCAGTGAGCGTCCCCTCGGGGATGCACGGGGAGGGTCTGGTTGCGGGTGAAGCCTCCAGGGATTGAGGGACAGCAGCCCCGGACGCCCTCTGACTCTGCACTTCGAGAATTCCCARACAGCTAGTGCCATTGGGACGGCAAGTCCTGGAAGGGACCTGGTCTCCCAGCTTTGGAAGGGAATGACTTAGGAGCCTTAGCCTTACAGCCTGGCGTCCACAGCTCCCGAGGTCGCGGCAGAGGGGAGTGGCTTTTGTGGAAAACGCCGCCGAAGCGATAGTCGGCGAAGAGTCCCGGTATTCACGGGGCACAGTTCTCCGAGAATACTCTGTGTTCTCCGGAGACTCTTCGCCTGCGCCCAGGGTGGTGCCATGTGGGGCGGACGCCACTCATCCGCCGCCTCCTCCCTGAACACCGCTTCCCTCTTGCAGCTGCTGYTGGCTGCGCTGCTGGCGGCGGGGGCGCGGGCCAGCGGCGAGTACTGCCACGGCTGGCTGGACGCGCAGGGCGTCTGGCGGATAGGCTTCCAGTGCCCCGAGCGTTTCGACGCCGGCGATGCCACCATCTGCTGCGGCAGCTGCGCGTTGCGCTACTGCTGCTCTAGCGCCGAGGCGCGTCTGGACCAGGGCGGCTGTGACAACGACCGCCAGCAGGGCGCGGGTGAGCCTGGTCGCACGGACAAAGACAGCCCCGACGGCTCTGCAGGTAGGGCTACCTGGGGCCCAGTGCGAAAGGGGAGAGCAGTTGGACTTGCATGGAGGGCACTGATCTGAGAACTTGGAGAAGGAGTTAGGAGCACTGAGATTTCAGGAAAGGGATTAGGACCAGGAGGTGGAGCCTACATTCTTTCCCATCCATTAATTTGTGCGAAGTAGGGCACCAATTCGTTGCCCTCAGTTTCTCCATAGGTCCGCTAAGGGGTGGCAAGGCTTAGATTTTCCGAAACAAATCACACACCTACCGCAGTGTGGCCACACACAGCTCCCAAATTTCTTCTGTCCAGGGTCCTCTGCCCCTCCCGTGTGACCTGTCTGCCTAGGACTTAATATCTTGGGGATACACAAGRACATGGTGAGAACTTCCTTGAAGGCTTCTCCGAAGGAAGGCAGTTCCTGGGGTTTTTGGAGTGGGTGATGTAGACTTTACGAGACCTCAGGGAATTCAAACCGTCTGCACCTCTCCCCCCTGCCCTGGCCAGGTCTCTCCTTACCACATGGACTTGGTAGGTGTGACATTGCTCTTTGTGTCTTAAGATTTTTTTWAAAATTATGTATATAAAATTATATATATGATCCTAAATACATACAGTCACACACATATACACACATGCACCCATATATGTGTATATGTACAAACATACACACACGTGTGTGTGTATAGATTTTTTTTTAATTGCCAAAGCCAGATTTGGAAAATAAACAAACCTACAAAAGAATTTGATAGGTTACATTTCCTCCACTCTGTGGAAGCCTTCCCAGACTGCCTCCCTGGAAAGTCTGCACTTATTTGCAAGAGAAAGAGTGTGTAGTTTGGGATTGGAGAGGGGTAGAGTCAAATGGCAAGCATGTCTCAGACATGGTGTCTCATTTTTCTGTAGTTGTATTAATTAACTGACTTTATACCAGCACCCAGGGGTAGAACTGCCTGGACATTGACACCAAGTAGGTTCTGTGTTGGCCTGGACAGTTCTTTTCAGTCATTCTCCTTAATGAAGGATTTTATTATCATACTACTCCTTGATGCTCTGCCTTGAATCTGAAGAGAGGAGAACTGAGGGTAATTCTAGAAAAGGTGCAATCTTAAAATGCAAGCCCAGCCTTGCAAAGTGTGTGGCCTCRGAATAAAGCCTGGAGAAATGAGCCAAAGCCCAAACTGCTACAAAAAGGTGTCTGTTAAGTTGGGCCCATTAATGATCTCTAAAAGTTGGGATGGCTTTGGACAGATCAGCAGGCATCACACTAGTCCTGATGCTTGTGTTGTGCATGGGTGCCTTCTTCATTCCTCTTTTAAATCTGTTTCCTTAAATCCTGTTTCTTTCACATAGCCTCAGCAGTGAGGAAGGACGACCTGCCTAATTAATCCTGTGGGGGGTGGGGGGAGTGGGGCTTATAGTAGCCCTGCATTCTTTACCCCTGTGTAATTATTTACACTTCCAATTAAAAATCCTGGAAAGAGAACAGTTATTTCTCCCTAAAACTCATTATGTAGACTGAGACTGGTTTGAGCTAGTTTTTGCTCTAGTATTGGTGGTAAATTATTATTATTTTTCTCTTTTACTATTTTTTGTTTACCTCTTGATAACATATTTGGGACTGGTGTCTTAATGTAGAGAATGAAATGTTTATAGTATGTGTAGGAAAAAGTTGGGCATCCACTGCTCTAGCCCTTCATAGTTAGCCTGCAGTGATAGTGTAATCAGAGTAGTACTGCTTCCTCAGGCCGGCTGTGCTGCACACTGTAGCAATACTCTGCCTGCCAGAATGGACACTATATATAGAACTGGCTCTGCTCAGCAGTGAAATTCAGGGAGATCTTTCATTGTCAGCCTTTGGCTAAATTACTCAAAAGTAGGTTTTACTTATAAGGTATTATTTCTCAATGATTCCAGGTGATGCTGGATTCTAAAAGCACTGATTCCAGGAATATAACAGTCAAAGGAGCATAATTAAAAAGCCCACTGCACTAAGGGACAGTCAAAGGGTATTTGCAGATCTGACCTCAGAGGTATGGGCTTCTTCCTAAAATGCTGCCCATCTGATCTTGTGCTGGCACTGTGGTTTGCCAAGGCAAGATCCAGTGTATTTTTCAATCAAATAGGGAGGTCTGGGGGATGCAGCTAGAGGTAGAATGCTTGCTTAGCATGCTCAAGGCCCTGGGTTGTGTCCCTAGTACCTGCAAAAAAAAAAAAAAAAAGGAAAAGAAAAAAAAAAAAAAGAAGAAGTGGGACAGGAACATATCAAAAACATACCGGGTTCTAAAGCATGGAGTGGAATTCTATGGAAGTGGCTCAGATTTCTTCTGCAGGTTTCCTCTTCCTTTTTCTGCCCCCAACAGCCTACTTTCTAAAGTGTCATCTCTGTGACTCCCAAAAGACTTTTTTTTTTTTTTAAAGAAAATAATTTAAAAAATGGAATTCGCTACTGGTTTTAGTAAAGTGTTTTTTTTAAAAAATCTTATGGTTTTATTTTTCAAGAATAAAACCTAAATAAATGCTAAGTATGATAAATACCATGGTTCTCCTCTACAGACTTTGCATACAACCTTGGGTGCAACTGAACCTCTGGGCATCCTCCCTGCACCCTCATCCTTCCTGCATGCCTTCTTAGCCCTTGGTGGGCAACTCCTTTGTAGAACAAATGGATTTTTGTTCCTGATATTTGTTCTCAGTATACTTTTTCTTCTACATCACAGTTTCATCACTAGATGCCCCACACTGGGCAGGATGCCTCACCCAAGGACCCRTCCCTTCAACAGACAGGAGTGTGTAGAAGTTTCTGCTATTTTTGACTGACACATAGTCATTGTACATATTTATAGGGCACAAGGTGATGTTTCATTCATGTAAAAATTGGGTAATGATGAATTCATTCAAAATTGCCCTCTTCTAGCTGTTTTGGGATATAAAGTGCATTGTTTTTAAATTGTACTCACCCTACATAGCTCACCAGAGCTTATTCCTCCTATCTAAATACAAACTTGTATCCATTGATCAGTCTTTCCATCCCCCGGACCCTACCTGCTACTCTCCCTAGTCTCTGGAAACTACTATTCTGCTTTCAATTTCTGTGAGATGAACTTTTTTAGATTTGTGGAGACTTTTAAACCCTTCCTTGATTTTCTCATGCATTATACTCTTTTTTGGAAATAACAGTGGCTCAGAGTCTGACCTAAATTGTTATTTATCTACTTATGGAAAAAGAACTTGCTTAAAAAAAAAATGGCAAAAGACATTTTCAAGGAATGTAAGAAAATTTCCTGAAAAAAAAAAAAAAGAAAGACTTAAGAAATTCAAACTCATTATTATTTGGTACATCCTACTAAATCTGCTAGGGCAGATTTAAACTTAGGTAGTTACATTATTATAGGAAGATTAGAATCCTAGCAATTTTAATACTTTAAGCCCATGTTTTGCCATCTTGGGTATGTCTCAATCATTATAATTGATGACTTTAACTGTAAATATTAACAGTTTCCTTTCTGAGAGTCAATCTAGCATGTCCATAGGGTCCTGGCACCTCTCCTGGATACCTGGTAAAAGATGGTGCATCTTATGTACTGCTAACATGTGGACCAACCAGTCCAGGTTAGGTCCTTTGATTCTGGATATCAGTGTGGCTTATTTATCGCGGCCTCCACCAGTCACCCATTTTAACTGCATTCTTATAGTAAGTCATAATGTTTCTGTCCTTTTCTCCAGTGCCCATCTATGTGCCATTCCTGATCGTCGGCTCTGTGTTTGTGGCCTTTATCATCTTGGGGTCCCTTGTGGCAGCCTGTTGCTGCAGATGTCTCCGGCCGAAGCAGGAGCCCCAGCAGAGCAGAGCCCCGGGGGCCAACCGCTTGATGGAGACCATCCCCATGATTCCCAGCGCCAGCACTTCCCGGGGGTCATCCTCCCACCAGTCCAGCACAGCTGCCAGTTCCAGCTCCAGTGCCAACTCAGGGGCCCGGGCACCCCCAACAAGGTCACAGACCAACTGTTGCTTGCCTGAGGGGACTATGAACAATGTGTATGTTAACATGCCCACAAATTTCTCCGTGCTGAACTGTCAGCAGGCAACCCAAATTGTGCCACATCAAGGGCAGTACCTACATCCCCCATATGTGGGGTACACGGTGCAACATGACTCTGTGCCCATGACACCCGTGCCCCCTTTCATGGATGGCCTACAGCCTGGCTACAGGCAGATTCAGACCTCCTTCCCCCACACTAGCAGTGAACAGAAGATGTACCCTGCGGTGACTGTATAGCTCACAAGTCACCCACTGGATTCCTTTATGAGGCTGAGAAAAACTGGGATGGATTCTTCAGATGGAAGCCTGTGCATGTCAATGGTATTTATGGTACAGTTGTTTTGTGTGGCTTCATTTGCCCCCAAACTGTAGGAAACGTCTCTGAATTAGCGTTTCTGGATGTGTTTCATCCCAGTGTATGGATGGATTCATGATGGACAAATAACATCCACTGGAGCCGCCACCTGTGTTGTTGATGTGACAAATGCTTGAGCCCTTAAGTGCCCTTGAGGTGTGGTATCAGAAGAATTTTGTACACTGATGAGTTAAGGGATTTATTATGTCATCATTATTATTTCTTTTTGTTGTTGGGTTTTAACTATACAAGAACAGAATACTTACCTCCCTTTATCCTGGGCCATTTTATTTTTTTACAAGCATCTAAGGTGAAGGGAAGACGTGAATAACACAGTTATTATAAAAAGAAACCAGTTTGAACTCTATGAGATTAGTCATCAATCTCACTATTCCATAGGCACATCTTATTTCATTGTAAAAAGATATATATATTTTGTCTATTTTTGTGCTTTTTTGCCCTATTTTGTGCTTTTTTTTTAACCTTGTGTAGAGACATTATTACCAAATGATTTTCTGCATTATAAAGAGACTGAAAGAAATTGTGTAGTTCCTTAACAAATGAGGACATTTCAGAACTCTGGGATTATTTTAATCTTGAAGTAGTGGGTGGTATAGTAATGAAACCATTCATCCCTTTCTTGATGGTATCTCAATATTATGGCTTTACTGGGACATCTGAGAAGTAATTGGATTTTTTAAAATACTGAAATCATAAAACCATCACCTACTACTTCTCTGGGTTGCTTTTAATTTTGCCATGCATATGGCTTGGCATTTTGTTCTGCTTGATTTTCAGATCCCCTTGTCTGTGTAGCAGTGAAGGCATAGTTATAAATGAATATCAGTGTTTCTACCTAGATCTGATAAAACATTTTTTTGTGTTTTAATCATAAAAATTCAAAGGAATGTTTTGTATAGCTTCTCAGTTATAACCTGAGACATGGAGTGAAATTTAAACCTCAGACATGGCATTTCTTTGCAAATCATAAGGCTTTTATACTCTTGTTAGCAAAAGTAGCATATTTTTCAAGGAATAAGGACTATTAAGTCAAGAGAAAAACTTTTCAAAGAGATATTGCCTTTGTTCCCCCACAGTTCTTCTTATTCTTTTTCAGGCCTCAATAAGCACTGTGTTCATTGCCAATGTTTTGAATTGCCAAAATCAAGTGAATTTATTTGTGTATTACTTACTTATTAAAAGTTTTAAGTATATGCAAGTAAATTTTCAACTGCTAGCAAAACAAAGATTTGTAATTAAACAAATCATTGTAAGATACGGTCTTTTACACATTTATGTCAGTGGCTACCTGTCATCTCTTCTTCTATCATCTATCTCATGACTGAATAATGTTAAGCCATTGTTGGCAACGGGTATCAGTAAAGATACTCAATCATAATTTTTAATAACCAAAGGCAGGGGAAAATCCTATTACTTATTAATAAATATTTTATGGTGTGAATTTCTAAGAGAGTTGGGTTTTTTTTAAAGTTTTCATTATACTTGGTAATTTTTCAGATGTTCTAGTAAATCTGTTAATAAAAGACAATTACTAAAAATCATAAAATATTGCTTTCTAGACCAAGAGACTACTTTTAAAAGTAATCAGTATCTAGGAGGTTTGGTTGCATGTTCTGTGTGGGAGTCAGTAAGTATCATTTTACATATTCTGTGGGACATGTTGACAACACAAAAGACGCAGTTCTTTGGGGATCACGATGTCATCAAGCTAACTTGTATTCCCAATATTGTTTTTGACAGAGAATTTCTGCTTACCTAAGGAAGTAAAGTTTACTTCTTAGAAGATAGGGACCTTAGAAATCACTCACCTTAGGGCTTGATGAACATTTTCAGTGAAGAACCAGAGTAAAAATATTAGGCTTTTTGCAGCCATTCAACTAAAGTAATAGCACAAATATAGCTATAGATGATACATAAATAAATAGGAAAGGCTGGATTCCAATAACACTTTATTTATAGAATATACTATATTTATATATAGTATATATTTATGTCATATGTCATAAAGATAATTTATAAAAAATGTCCCCAACCATTTCCAAAGGTAAAACCCCTTCTAAGCTCCTGGGCTTTAAAAAAGCAGTCAGTGAGCTGTATTTTTCCCATGGACTATATAGGTGGCTAGTCTTTAAACTGATGCCTTTTCCTTACTAGATAAAGGAGTCACCTCTGTGATGTTCTTGACAGGCTTTTAAATTTTTCATTATTTTTAAATTTGGGTTGGAGATTGATGCTTAATCACTGAGCCACATCCCCGATCTTTTTAATTTTTTATTTTAAGACAGGGTCTCCCTAAATTGCTTAGGGCCTTGCTAAATTGTTAAGGTGGGCCTTGAACTTGTGATACTCCTGTCTTAGCTTCCTGAGCTGCTGGGATTAGAGGCATGCCAGTTTGGAAGGCTTTTTAAAACAGAGGAGTGGGCAATACTTGCTACTCTGTTAYAAGATCGTTACTTTTTCCTCCTTTTCCTATGTGGTGGTAATTAAAGTAAAAATGCACTTTAATAAACGAAATGAGATTTTTTTTTCCCACTCAGTGAATGCTACTGGGTCTTTACAAACATAAAACACCATGAGAAGCAATCTCAGAACTTTGGTTCAATCTTAGGAACTAGAGAAATTTGGCAAAACAGGTGGTCAAATGCCTGGATTAAGTGTATCTTCCTTGCTGTCATGAAATATAAAAAATCTGAGCTTGCAAGGTGTAATTTCCACTCAGTAGAAATATTTTACAGTCTATGGAAAACTAGTTTGCTGCTGCACATTTTCTAAGGTATCTAAATCTTTACTGTTGGTTCATAATAGTTCCAGGGGAATCTCTATTTTTCAAAGAGAAAAATCAGATCTTTGATTGCAAGAAAGAAGCTCCTGTGTCTATTAAAGAGTGGAAATTACAAGTCTATAATTTCTGCTACTGCAGAAGAAAATTAAAATATACCCTCTCTCAAGTTGGGGATGTGGCTCAATGTCCAGGATGTGGCACTTGTCCAATACGCTGGAGGTCCTGTGTTTTGTGCCCAGCATTGCCAAAAATAAATGAATTAAATAATGATGTCAACAGCCAAGTGGTGAGAAGACCACTAAGACAAATGTGGTTTAGCATATTCACTCTGCAACAGGCCCCTTCCCATAACCTTCCTGTTCTTAAGTTTCCACAAGCTTAACTAATTCTGTTTCCTCTGTTAAATTTATCTTGAGCTCATTCATTCAAGTTTGCACAGTTTTACTTCATGAGTTCTGTGACTCATACTTACCTTGTTCTGTTATGAACTAGGATATGGGTTTCCTTCAGAATCATCTCCTGAGGAAACACTAAATGTTAGAACAAGGTTTATGATGCCAGGGTTGGGGCTGTAGATCATGGCAGAGGACTTGACTGGCATGCCTGAATGCATGAGGCCCCGAGTTCGATACCACACATATACACAAAGGTTCATGATACCAGTCAAAGCAGATGTTCACAAATGGACTGACCTGCAGAGAAGGCTTGCATGCTGCTACACATTGAGATAGAAAAGATTGAAACAATATGTTCTTTTCTCAGTCTGACTCCTACCCAGTAATAGCGGAGGGATCTTTTAGTGCGAGTATCCCTACCACACTGTTCTCAGTGATTCACTAAAATGGGTTAACAGGTTAATAAACAGCATGTTTACTTTTAGTTGGTTGAACTTCCTAAATGCTAAAAGGAGTAAATTTAATTGACAAGGAGTAAATTTAATTGACTTCAGAATTACTATTTCCATTATCTTAGTCTGTTTTTTTTCTGATTAGTCAGAATGTCGTCATTAAAATATGTAATTTTAATATTAAAATATGTAATTTTACTACCATGTTACTACATGGAGCAGATCTCTATGCCTGCCATGTGCATGAGGCACTTATTGGTATGTGGGGGTAGAGGTGACAGTGTGCAGAGAAATTAGACTCACCCTGTCAGTCATTCAGAGAGAAAACAATCATGGCATGCACTTGCCAGCTCTACAGGACTTCCCTGGATTACTGCTGAGTAGATAATGTGTTTGTAGTATTGGCTCAATGCATTTTTAAAAAACATGATCATTTCCTTTTTGAGCTTAAAAAAGAAGAGAACAATCGAAGCCTCTGAGGAAGTCACATGTCACTGGTCTTGGTCAGAGGAATCTCAAGGCATGAAGTGGATGGTGATGCTAAACCTAACAGGGAATCGAGACTCTCGGGGTCCTGCCAGGAAGGCCCAGGTGAAGGGCTGGGCCTGGCCACTGGTCAGGCACAGTCTGGTGTTCAACTTTTAGAGCACCTTGCATGTTTAAAAGGGGCAGCTCCGATAGTCCAAGGAGGAATGAAGCAGGTGTGCACAGGAGAACACCCTTCCTCCTCACTCCGTCTCAGAGCTTGTCTTCTGCTTACCATGGTGGAGCCAGAGGACATTGTCTGATTCATTGTCATCCCTACTCCCCACCAGAAATCAATCAACATTTCTTTGCCTTTTGAAATTTTTTCCTTAGTTAACTGAAAGAACGGATGTTACTGTGATTCAAGAGTCTTCTAAGGGTTAAGTAAAAGATAACAACCAGTTAGACGACATTAACACCTTTCTGGAAAATTACGCATTAAACTTGGTGAATTGGTTTTAGTGTGTAGATTTTCTTTTGCCTCCTTTGCTCCGTTCTTCTGTATAGAATCATTTAACAGTGGAAAATAGAAGAGGAAAACCTTAGGAAAACCCTCAGTTACTCCAGGTAAAGATGTGAGGTACTTTTGCATACCACCTATAACCCTACACCACCATGACGGAATAACTTTGAGATAAACATGAAGTTTTGAGCAGGGATCTGGTTCTGAGGGTCATGCTGCCACTTACTGTTAAACCTTCAGAATGTCTTCAACATTTATACCCACAATTGA